GGCTCAGAGCAGCCGGTATCCTTGCATACAACTAGGGCGTATTTATTACCGCGAGAGATCGAATGTCGTGAGTCCACTCGGTACTGACAGAGCAGAGCCGATATCACCAAACACAAATAACCAGATAAATCAGCTGTCACTCATATATATGGCCAGTTTATGAGTGCATGTTTAGATGGGTTGACTGAGACCTGACAACCAACATGGATCAAAAACTATATGAACGGTTTCATGCAGTCATGCTTGAATACTTACGATATGATTTTACCTATCGTATTTATAACTATAACGAATGTTGATAAATTAAGAAATATTCGTGAATACAGAACTACATAAGTTTATATTTTTGAAGAAAATGACATGGTAGTAAATGTTGTCATAATTGAAAGCGGTTGTTTGAGTCAAGGGGGACAACTCAATCAACCGCATTCATTACATCTTCCTATTGACAGCGAGTAGATTATTAGTTTGTATTACCTATCTCAAATTTGTTTTTGTATTAGTCAAACAACATAATAAAGAACTTTTCGAAACGGTATCAATAAATCCGAATAATAACATAGCAGCTAGACGTAAAACAAAACTTCTGGATGAACACAAAAATGGAATACAGCTGCCCTCATTTTAAAAATATCCTTTGTTGAATGTAAACGTGTTTTATGACATCATTCACGGTATCCAACGTCTTGGCCAAAACAAATTTCAGATGTAAACCTATTTCACAATTACGCTGATGTCACACGCCTCTGTATTTAATGTTAACACTTTCGAATTTGTAACTATAGCCTGTTTATATCATTATGAATAGACATAATTATAGCAATTGTTGTTTTAAGTCGCAATTATGAACGTTTTTCTCGTAATCGTGACACATGATTAGACATTTTACCATGTGATCTCTGTATCACGTTTGATGTTATAATTGCTCTGATTGTTGAGATGATCGTTAATTATCACACATTTCCTTCATAAATTCTGACTTATTTAACTAACTTTGTATTTGTGGTATTTTCACATATACTAAAGCTACCAAAATAACTATCCAATCGTAAAGGATTTAAGTTGAATTGTGAATCATTCGTGTGTCAACATATCCCGCATTGCGCCACACGCATTAAACAGCGAGTGTAAAAACCACTAAACGCTTTAGAATCATCAAACTTGAGTGTTTTGTAAATGTTATAAAAGATAAGCATCTGTTAGACTGGACACCTTGTTGTAGTCACAAAGTACTCCTTCAGTCTTCTTGGAAAAAAAGTTTGCTTCACTCATTGATTTATTAAGGTAAAGATCAAAATTATAAAAGCTTTTGCCTTCTCGTGTATTCATTTGTCAACATGTTTTTAGGCAATTTCTAGGGCTCAGAATTTATGGATGAACTCAAATCTTAATCATAAGTCAAGAATAATTAACCAAAGGCTTTCTAGAAATAAGAACTGAGATCCTAGTTACTTCATCAAACTAAAGTCCCAAAGTTAAATGAACTTGACGTAAAAAAGTCGTTAGGTGAAAACTTTCAACGAAGTTAATAAATAGCTTAATAATTTTAATCTATAATGTTATAAGGTACCATTATATTGGGCGTCCTTCTCATTATTATTTCGAGTGCTTGGAATCGTGTCGGTATTTCATTGTTGTGTCCACGTGATGTGACCACTTCCTCCTTTGTACCTTTGTATTCGTCATCAAGTAACCATATTGACTTACTAAAAGGGAGTTACGGCAACTATGATCTATTTTTATATAGATGTTTATGTCTTTTCTTCGTTAGTCGTTACTTTATTTAATCGTCAGTGATATAATTTTGTCTTGCAATAATACTTGACATAGGCATTGATAGCATTCTACTTATATTGAATTGGTATCTAATAAATTTTAAAACCTAATAAATCTTCAACCAGTTACGTTTTCAGATGAATTCGTTGGTAATTAATCTGCCAGTGTCTTAAGTCTTTCTACTAACATATCATTAATTGGATCTTGTTATTTATGGCGAACAAAGACGTATCTTTTATTGACATAAAATACATTAATAAGTTTAATTTAGTATAAGACATTTGGTCACTAACCGACATTTTATGCAAGATAGACTTTTTATTTCCGAACTATTAAGGTCAAATTGTTAATTATTATAATTCTTTAGTCATGTTGCGTTAGGAATATCGGGTACGTGGCTCTGGTATAAATGTAAATACGGCATCTTCCTTTAATTCAAAAAATATGGAGTAAAACACCACAACATCATTTTTCTTTTAGTGCGACTGCGATAATATTCAATGAAGATGAAACTTGAAATGTACCTACCTACTGTGATCTGGTTTATTTAATTAATGTATTAAATTATGGCTTTTGTCTGACAATTATTGGTGAAGCCACGCCCGGTAACGATATCTTCGCATTGTGTGCGAATTCTCTTTGTGGAAGGTAGCTGGCCTGCTAACACAATCTCTCGTCCCGAGGGAATTGCAAAACTGCGGACTTGGAACTAATTCTGTTCGTGGTTTAGTGTTTTCGACTAATAATGTATGTTGTTTTTGCAGTCAAATAGTGTTTTGTCGGATGTATCATATTTTTGTAAATGTAACTTTAATTGTTTCACACCTTAAAGTTGATTGTTAAAATCAAATAAATTCTTGTAGATTACAACTACAATTTGCTTGCTTCAATCAATGAACTGCAGCATGTAACGGAAACTGTTGATCTATATTTGCTGAAAAAAATGTAGTTATCCTATGAAACATGTCATAGGTACTCTTACATGGTAAATGCCAATACATTCTGATTCAGACGGGCCGACGACGGGCGTGAGTTCGTACTTTACGTACACACGGCGACAGTTTATTCCACACGCGGGATACGGCGACCCGTATCCAACGCACACACGGTTTTATTGAGCCCTAAACCCGTAGATATTCTGTAAACATGTAGCATATGCGACCCACATAAAAGAAACAAACAAGAATCGTATTTTTTTATGTCGCATGCAACATGCAAGGTGCATGTTGTCTAGGCTAAATAAGTAAATTTTTTAAAGAAGGAATTAAGGCATATTTTATTGCAATAATTTTATTGTTTGTGCCCTGATTTTGCACCGATGCAATTTACTGATGAAATGTTGACATTTCAATACAGAAATACCATACGTATTGCCGAATTTTCTGGTGGGTTTTGCCAAGTATTTTGCTTGATACAAATATTGTTCGTGTTTGGAGGAGCTCTACGGTGTAAGTGTTTAGCGCTTTCGGTCTAGGGTCGTGGCAGTTGAGCAGCTTTCACAATGGCCGGTCTTAGGATGGATGACCAAAAAATTATTATCCCGAACTCCTCCATGCTTCAAAATGCCCCTTAACCTTTTGGTCCCGGCTGTATCTGCAGTCGTTAGAGCCCACCAATCTGCGCTGGTCAGCGTGGGTCATTTTAGACCACTAAGGCAACGCATTTTAATCTAAGCACGCATTAGGAATTAGGATTACGCACAGTCGGTCCTATGTCGGTCTGTCGGTTTGCGGAGCCCGATGGCACAGGTTAGCGCGTTCGGCTGCGATCGTAGAACTTAAGCAACTTTCGCAGTGGTCGGTCATTGGATGGGTGACCAAAAAAATCTTCTATCTCGAGTTCCTCTGTGCTTCGGAAGGCACGTTAAGCCGTTGGTCTCGGCTGCATCTGCAGTCGTTAGCACCCGTCAATCCGCACTGGGCGCGCATGGTGTGTCGTGGCCCAATCTCCCTATAAACCATCCATAGGGAAGGCCTGTGCCCCAGCAGTGGAGACATTAATAGGCTGATGATGACAGTCGGTCCATCGACTTTACCCATACCAACATTTTCAACTTCTTGATGAAGTGTTGTGATGTTCTAAATTAAAAACTTTGTTCTTGAGTCACAGTACAAGTACTGTGCTTTATGTTGTAGTAGCACCAGGAAATAGATATAAACTGGAACTATTCCTTCCGAAAAAGTGCTGAGCGAACTATGTCACATACATCTGCCGGGCGTCCCATGCGATATGATGCCCGTATTGAGGCCGCACCGCAGATAACGCCAGACCAATGGATCTGTCTGTGGCGGGTCGTTGATTCTACGACCATTGACCACGACCACAAATCGGATTCGTCTATACTTTAAAATTATTGTCCACAAAAGGGAACTTTTAAAGGATCTCTTCGTAGTCTGTCTGTTTATCGGATCACTCTTGCTTGGAAGCTCTGTGGCGTAGAATTTATTATTTGAATCTAGTTGAATTTACTATTAAACTTCATGTCTGCCTTCAAAAATACGTACGTACTGGTCATGCCACATAACCCCCTTTACCCCTCCTCATAAAGATAGAACACAGAGATAATTAAATTGACGTTATTACATTCTCGAAACAGTGTTTTTTTAATCGAAGTTATTGAATGGTCGTGTCAAAAAATAACGCTGAATGTAGGACATTCAATCGAAGCTAAATGACCTAAAAATTTATGTTTTATTACTAAGCACACCTGTTGTTTGTTTACTAAGGTATTCTTTATAAAGAGCCGATAACATGTTTTTAAAATCTAGGATTCTATGGGCATGTTCAATTCTGATAGGACTTCGTGAAATGGAACGGAATTTTTTTTGAGCAAAATTTATGATGAATTTTGATTTTCATTCCAATTGCAGGTGTAATTGTTGCCAATTACAAATTCTAATCCAATATCGTTTATTCAGTTAAGACTGTTACAGTCGGTTCGTAAATCAACGGCAGGAGACCTTGTACTGAGAAGAACCGGAAAGAAACGGACAACACAGTTGTGCATAGCCCACGTGGCACTCTTTGTGCGATTGTATATATCCCTCTACCAGAAAACTGGTAGCGCAGTTCTGATCATCCTGTATGACTGTTTGGATCCATCAGGCGTCTTCTGTCGCTCCTCCGACGACGTGCAGGGCTGCGCCATGTTCCTTCACAAATACTAGTCTACACTTACTAGACCATTAGTACGATATCTTCCAAACAATACTTCCTTTCTATAGGAAACTGGTGGCACAGTTCAGCCGCGAGGAGACTTCGCTGCTAGTGTTGCGAGTAATGGTCGGCCTGATCATCCTGTACGACTGGGTGCACCCGTCGGGAGCCTTCTGTCGCTCCTCCTCCGTCGACGTGAAGGGCTGCGTCAAGTTTCTGCAGCAGCAGACGCCGGCTAAAGCGGAGCCGCTACTCAACGCACTCAGGTATGTGAGGTCCGATTTAACCGTTTTGAGACAGATGGTAACTAAAAACTTTACCTTTAAATTAGCTGTAGTACAATTAAAAATTAATACCTTTATATGGTAAAGATATGGCACTCAATGTCTTTTGTGAAAAGACCTTTTAATCAAGACTAACGAACTATTTTTCAAATTAAATTACTTCAGCCATATTCTAATTTTATGCAGTGAAATCGATGTGTTTAGGTTCCTCATACCAAAAATTATAAGACATAAACATTTGTATAGTACAATTTGATATGAGTCAACTAGCCTACTATACTAACATACTTGTTGATTTTATACATCATAAAATATCTTCTCATTTTAAGATTACGTACAATCTCGCTATTTTAGATCACCTGATCATATTTTTATATACCACCTTATTCCAAAATGTGGACTAAAGTTAGTCTTGGTTGAAATTCCACCTAATATTGCCTCTAGTGTCGATTCTAACATGAGAATCATGTTAACTTAAAACTAAATTTAACATCAGAGTCTCCTTTTCATTCCGTATAGAGAATGACAAGGATACACTGTTATCATTTTAAGTTTAGGTTTAGAGAATCATGCCAGAATCTACACCTCTGTCTTCCTTTTAGCAAACAAAATTGACAGCATCAATTTAAGTCCAGGTTCTATAGTCTACGTGTTGTAATAAGGCGGATAATGTATATTATGTATAGTACCTCAGATTACACAAAGGGCAGATGGAGCGCACGGTACACAGATTGCGTGCCACCAAAGCAAATATCAAATCAAAAGTAGACTTATTTTTTCTTTGTGAACAGTTTTTACAATGTCAAAATGATAAAAACTTAATATTCCCAACACGATGCGTTGTAGTGTACTGACGCGAGTTGATATTCGCTTTCGACTTGATATTTGCTTTAGTGTCACGCAATCTGTGTACCTCGCTTCATCTGCCTTTAGTTATGTAATCTGATTATCTGAGTATGGTGTTTATATAAAATGTAAATGAGCCAATAAAATCTGCAGGTACACAACGAAACACCTGAACCATCAGACCACGCCGAAGAACATCCGGACCTTGTTGGCGGCGTGAGGACAGCACTCCAGCCTTGCATGCTGCTGTGGGGAGTGACCGACAATAAAACGCGGGGATCTCTCATACACGCTCATATTTATGTTTACTTATTTAACACCCGACACGTTTAAAAATTTTATATAGACGATTCTGTTGCACGAAAAACCTTTTTTTAAACATGGTTAAAGGATTTTCTTTCGGATAATTGATGGACTACTTCTACTAATAGAGGTTAGTCCACCTTTAATACCATTAGAAGATTTTGTTGCACGAAATAAAATACCGTTTAACATGGTTGTAGGAGAATTAAGGATTGATAAAATCATATTTTAGAGGTTAGGCAGTCCACGTTTATCGTAGACGTTTCTGTTGTTCGAAATTCGAAATACTATACTAACCGTATTTCCTAACATGGTTGCAGGGAAATTTCGGATGATTGATAATGTCCTACTTTTAGAGGCTTGTTTACCATCTCTGTTAAGTTAACTAGGTCTATACCCAACAGCGTTGCCAGACGTCCCGAGTTTAGAGGGACGTGCCGATTTTTAAGTCAAAATTGAATGTCCCGCGCGGGACAGGCTCAATCCCGCTTTTCGGGAATAACTCGACCGTGCGTGCAGCGTACAGAGAAAGCGCGGGTGGCACAGACAAGTGTGGACTTGCCATCCGGGCAGGTGGGCCCGCGTAATGAAGATAAATATTCAATAACTTTTGATTATATAAGTTTTTTTACTATGTCCCGTTTTCGACGAAAGAATTCCGCTTTTCTCACTCAAAAAGTTCCTAAATCCCGACATGGCTGGCATCGCCGATACCCAATAAGCCTTTTTAACTTTTTATTTAATTTTATTATCTGATTTTAATGATGACTCTTACAATTTTAAACTTCAATGTCAGAAGGTCGATCGTTATATTTACCCATGGACCTGACTTTATTTTAATTCTAAAATGTTTGAAGTGTTTTCAAAAATGAAAAAAGGACTTGCTTAAAAAAAAAGAGTGAATCAGCACTTATGATTCTAAATGGAGTGTTCAGTAGGCCTATACGCTAACTGCTTCACTATCACCGAGCTATTTAGTGATCCACGACTGCAATTTTCTCTTTAGATACACACTGTAAAAAAAGGTTTGCGATTAGGCCGGCTGGTCTAAGTTTACCATCATCAATAATTACTTCAGAGTTATTACCTTCTTTTAAAATACGATTGAACTTTGCGTAGCTCTATTTTTTGCCTAAATGGTGAGAGAAACATTAAACGTAAAGTTGTAATTCCCATGAAGGGTAGGTAAGCTTAGGCTATACTGAAGACGTCATTTTTCATTAACTATGTTTTTAGTTGTTGTTGATTTAATAATTTCGTTGTAATATTGAACCCTATTTCTTACCGAAGTACAGTACCAACTAAACTATGTTCAATTCATCAACTTGGTTGCTCAAAATAAAGTAATTTCTCGAAGATCTTGCATTCTTTAAAATTAACATTAAAACGAAACGATTCAATTTTTAGGTCAGTCTTTTACGACTCACGATAGTTATTTAATAGTTTGTGAAACCTCGTATGTGACACGATTAGGATTCTTGATCGATTCTAGGTGTTTTAAAATGAATTTATAGATAAATTACATTGTTCATACGAATATAATAAGAGTAAACAAAAGAATATAAGTATATATTTTTCAAAATTGGTGAAACTGAACGTTGCGGTTTCTCTGTCTGGTTTCGATTTGAGTTTAATCTATTAGATTTAGTACGTAGGGGTGCAGCCTTATTAAACGTGCATGCTTTAAAAGCTGTTATGTTAGGTTAGGTATTGTTGAGAAAGTTTCCCCTACCCCCTCCCCAGTTGTGCAAGGTTTATGTAAGTAAAATCTATTTAAATATATATATACTTGTCAATCTATTTCCAACTCGTAAGTTAGCTTTTACAAGCCAACGTGTAAGTATGTTTATAATAAGACAATCCTAAGGGCTGATTACATCACTTCTTGGTATAAGTTACCTGTCAAATATTATATCTCGTCTTAGACTAGAAATTTAACGTGAAAAAAATACAACCGACAGATATCTAATTGTTAGTATTTATGATGACATCAGGAAGAGATGGAATTGATCCATGCTTAATTAAGATAAAAGTATTATTATAATTATGTAATAATCCCAACATTGCCTTTGAAGTAAGTCTATGAATGTTGATTATTAAACCGATCCTGAATTGACTCAATTTAATACCATAATCGCGGTTTCCAGTTAACAATAAACCTAGATTGATTTGATATAAAGCTCAAAACGTATTGCATATAATCGTAATTTTATGATCTATAAAGAAAATCTTAAAAAAGATCAATTGATTAAGATTCATCTGACAAGACTGGAAAATCAAAGTTAATCTTTTCAAAACAAAACCTTATTTAATCAAATTAAATAAAGCTATATAAATATACATTAAAAAGTAAAGAATGGAGTTTTGTTCATTTCATCTTTGAATTGAACTGAACAATAATTTTTACAATTTACTTCAGTGTTCCACTTGTAGTGGTGACGTGTGTTAAATTAGAAATATAATGATCTATTATAATTATATTAATCATTAAATGTTAAAAAATTAACGCATATACCACTGCCTTGATGTAAACTATAATGATTTTTTTAAAAACATTTTATGTGTTTCTATAAACAAGAATTACATTATGTATAAATTTGAAATTTAAAAGTATTATGCATGGTTAAGAATCTTTTATTATTATATGGTATAGATATTATGGATTTTATTTATTTCATTGTAATAAATCTTGATTCCTTGAGCATTCTACAGTCTTAACATTAAAACTAGTTTATATTAAAAGAAATAAAGTTAAGCCTGATTAAGCTATTGGATTATGGGAATCGCTCAGTCTCATATACGTACCTACTAAAAATCTATACTATATGTAACTCCTTGTTTATACGTTAGTTTGTTATCTAAGTCAATAGGAAAAAAATTGTGCCGTTTCCCTATAGCATCTTTGATTAAATAAAATTTCTATTAGTCTAATAAAATATTGTTTATATATTATTATTATGTATTTACTATACATGTTTCATAGCATAGATATTTTCACTTAGGAGTCTAGATACTATATAAGTATATATACTAGGTCATATTATAGTTTTAAATGAGTTTAATTGTCGTTATAAACTTTCACTTAATAGCACCTAACTATTCTCTGAATAGAATTGATATTTCGCACAAACGAGTCAGCACAATTATTATTATGATTAAGTACTGAAAATTTTCAGAATGATAACTATTGAAATGAATATTTTGATCTTTATTATATCATTATATTTATTGAAATTGTGTGACGATGGCTAATTTGTAAAGACGATAAATGTCAATGGGACAATATATTAATTATTAGCAAAACAAGTCAAGGAAGATATAATGCATAATAAATAGTAGGTACGTAATGTTCCTAACTCATGCATTGAATCGACTATTTTTAACCAAATTTATGATAAGCTAATCTTGAAATTGCATTTAGATATGCTATTGTGGAGAATTGAATGTCGCATTTAGGAATTGATGAAAAGATTTTGTTGATATACCTAAATATTACATAGTGGCGCTTCAAAATCAGCACTGCCTAATATCAAATTTCCATAAGTATATTATTTTTTTACGAAAATGTCTTGAAATATTCCAGATGATGATATTCCAAAGTAAGTTAAACTCCATGTCGAGTCTAAACTATGCATGCAAGTTTAGTCAGTTGCATAATATGTTAGATTTAAGAAAGTTCTAGAATATTAAAATTGATATAGCCACAAAACATATTATTTACTTAGTATTGATTCACCAAGAAGCTATGAATGCAGATGTACATTTTTTCATTCATTTTAGATTCACATTCTAATAATTATTAATTTGTTAAATGATGTAGCAAAATGTTTAGCAAATTCTTTTAAAAAAACCATAAAAACCATGTTAAGTAATCTAAATGTTGTTCTATCTGTAATTTGTTTGAGTAATATGTTTCTGTTAATATTTAAAATGGTTTGTATAATAGACCTACTTTAATTTCTTTATTTATTGTATATAATAAACACACCAAAGTTATGATTAATAAACTTTAATAGACTTTTATCTTTGATTTTTTATTTTTTGAAACCTGTTAACAATAAAGCCTTTTTTAATATTTAATAACTACATATTTACAAGTTATTAATAATTGTTGACTACTTAATTATTTGCTGGCCTTGGTTTCAAAATAAGTTTTCCTGTTTCATCACAAGACATATTGAAGTCATTTAGAACTGATCGAGTCCTTGCTGTGATAATACTTGGAGCTATCACCTTTCTGTGCACACCCATCATGAACAATAGCACTGTAAACAATACATAAATCATCAAATACAACTAAAGAAAAGTAGTGTCTGAATATTATTATTGATGTAAAATAATTGAAATCTGATAGATCATACCTAATAATGTTGATGTGAAGGCAAAGAAGGGATGATTCCACAGTGACTGCGTCAATGAAACTACAGGAGTCAAAGGGTCAGTGAGCCAATGCCATGCAGCCATAGCAGTACAGACTGATACTACAGCCAATAATACTGAAAATCAATATATTTATTATTATTTAACTGAGATTAAAACCTGCAACTTTGTTGATTTTATGTATAAACCTTCACCCCCTGAGTTCATCCTTTTCAAATTTTAATTTTGCATCTTTAACCTTTATCTCTGTACCAAAATTTATCAAAATTATAAAGTTTAGATGTGAAAGCATTTAAAGACCCTAAGAATACGACAGCTCCACTAAAGATTAGACCCACTTAGAAATTTATGGATTTTTAGCGGTGTCATAGCACAGTAGAGGGGAACATTGAAATCAGGACGGCAACTCATTACCACTGATTTGCTGTACCAACTATCTTCGCATGGACTTCATGGTCACTTAACATCAGGTGGGGTAGAGTAATTTGTCAGACCTATCTATAAATAGAAACATTACCAGGGCACAGCTTTTGAATTCTCCTTTAACTGTGTATTAACCTTTGCCTCCACTGCAGATTTGGTGAAAGCCCACTGAGAACGATTTAGTTTTGCATAAATGGGAGCTATAATAATGATTATTTATTCAAATACAGTAAAAATTTTACTGAATCGGCACAAATTATATGATCAATATTTTATGTGCCCAAAAGTTTATGTTAGATTTAGCTAAAATTGCATCAGGAGTTATTCTTTAAAAAGTAACTGTTCAAAATCTAAGTAATTCATTTCATTTTCATTCATATAATACATACTTCTCCATCTCATTGTTGCCGGTTGTAAACATCCAATCACCTCTGTTAGTCGGCGCTCAAATGCCTTTAAGTCTGAAAATGGATCATCACATATAAAGACAGATAAAGCGAGTAAATATGATTAGAAATAGAAAGATCGCTATGACTGACCATCACAGGCAGTTTGTTCCAAAGACATTTTTTTTAATTGTGCAGCGTAATATCTTGACGAGAATTTTCTATATTACTTATACGAACGAAAATCAGTACTTAGATTGCGGTGATTTGTTATTTTAACATTATCAATTTTAATTGAAGTATTGACCGACGAAATATTATCTTTCGTAAACAAATCAACCAACTGTCAGTTGTCAGCAGTGTTGCCAGTACCTGCGTCGTGTTTCGGACGATTCGAAATCTGAAAAGGGACGATTTTTAGTCAAAAAGGACGGCCCTACAGAAATATTAAACTAAAGGCTGAACTATATTTATCTTACGTGTTGTGTCGTGGCGCGATCTGGTTCATACATTTAGTACGGTTAGCACTAAGAACTATACAGAAGCAGATCTCTATTAAAAAATTTAGACATATTAAAATTGACAATCCAGTTAAGAAATGTGTATTTATTGCTATTTTGGACATTTTGCTTATTTTTCTATTAAAATTTTGACTATTAGTATAATTGACAATGGCTTATCAAATTTATAATTAATTTATAATCTACTTTGACATGCATGTAACAATAGACAATTTCAAATTATATTCATAAATTGTGATTCCAATGTAAAAATAATAGTACTTCTTTCATAGGTCCTTATCTATTTGTATACCTTAATTTAAGGTGGAAATGTAGTGATACTAACAAAAAATATATATACCATGTATACTAACCTATGTTTCACAAATAAAATTCTGAAATTCTGATTCTGATTAAACCTGTGTGTCGCGATGTGTCGACAGCGTTCTCACATTAACCATAATTGTATGAAACAGATAGCTCTCTGATGTGTTACAATACAACACGACAGGTAAGTGTAGTTCTATTATAATGCGGTTAAATGAAAAGAAAAGCGAGTCTGCTTAGGAACACACGACTGGAAGTGAAATTTCTATAGCTCCAATGATCTGTAATTTGATAGAAAAAAACCATCAATCCGCGCTGGGTCCGTTATCACACACCAATCCGTGCTGGGTCCGTTATCACCCACCAATTCGCACTGGGTCTATTGCCACCCACCAACCCGCACTGGGTCCGTTATCATCCACCAATCGGCACTGGGTCCGTTATTATACACCAATCCACACAGGGTCCGTTATCACCCACCAATCCGCGCTGGGGCCATTATCACCCACCAATCCGCACTGGGTCCATTGCCACCCATCAATCCGCGCAGGGCCCGTTATCACCCTAAAATCCGCACTGGGTCCATTATCACTCACCAATCCGCGCTGGGACCGTTATCATCCACTAATCCGCTCTGGGTCCGTTATCACCCACCAATCTGCGCTGGGCCCGTTATCATCCACCAATCCACGCTGGGTCCGTTCCGTTATCATCCACCAATCCGCACTGGGTCCGTTATCACTAGTGTTGCCAGGTCCGATTTGTTTTAAGTCGGTACATGAGGTGAAAAAAATCGGGACTTAGGGTTGTAGATCGGGACAGTAAACAAAAAACGAGGGTTTTTTAGTCTGGGTTTATTTTTTGCGATTTAAACCACTAGTGCAAGTATAGTATTATATTAATTACCTAACTTTCATTTTTTTATTCATCGGGTTATTTAGCGTCCCGATCAGGTACAAATCGGGACGCGTCCCCACACCCCTGAAAATCGAGACATCCCGCACAAATCGGGACACCTGGCACCACTAGTAATTACCCACCAATCTGTGCTGTGTCCGTTACCATCCACCAATCCGCGCTAGGTCCGTTATCCAGGCCACCTAGCCAAGCACTAGATTTATGTATTTTGTGACAGGTATTGTTCATTGTTTACCGATGAGTCACCGATGACACTAATCGTAACGCGAAATCGTAACTATTCGCCAGTTTACCCCCCAAGTCAAGCGTGCCTAAAGAAGTTTCACTTCAAAAAACATTTTAACAGAGCCATATTAATTATATTTTTTTGGGCACACAATAAACATAAAGAAGATGGTACGGAGGACATAGGTACATCATGGTGGTACGAACGTATCGTACGTACTTACGACTTAACAAAGCAAGCACTTATTTTTAAGTTACCTATTTATTATCTTTATAATTGAAATATAGGTACCTCAACAACAAAAGTTTTATTAGGTAAGATATGGTAGGTTATTGGGTTTGAGCTTTGAGTTGGTATATAGATATAGGTAGGTATTTGTTAAACGCCACCTTCGTAGCGAGCGTTGGATTCGATGTAGTTTACTGGGTGATTTGACGAATAGAGTTGACAATGTACAACGAATAGTGATGGCAATTTAGTGAAACGAAACGCATTCGTCTAATGTTGCAGTGAAGCGTTATCGAAAACGGACGGAAAAGGGACGGAATATGTAAAAGGACATCGATGGGACGCTTTGATGAGAAAAGGGACGAAAATCGTCCCTTTTGGTACGTTCTGGCATCACTGGTTGTCAGCCTTTTTCTCTTGTTTTTAACGTTCTCCCTTTTATAGGGAAGGCAAAGGGATCAATACCCATGCAGTCTAGTCTTTGTTCATTTTTTTTACATTAAAATGTGGGTGTGACGCATTCTAATGTTTCTTGGAGTGTTTGGCACGAAATGTATCGCATCAGCTTTCTCGATAAATTTCTGTGAGGTAGTCAACACTACAATAAAGTTCTCACGTCTACTTGACCGGAATAGCGTATATTTTAAATATTCCACTGATTCTTCAGTCTTGCAGACGGTTGTAACACAAAATCACACCAATTTTATTTCACAATATCCACTATGAACGCCTCTTTTTTTGTCTATTTGGCCCTGTTCAGTCGGGCAAGGGATTCTGAGTCCATACAGCCCTGAAAAAAAACAAAATTTCTTTTTTTTGTCTGTGGCTGATTCCGTTTTACACATCCGATCCGATCATAAAGTCTGAGTTATAATGCGATTCAACTAATTTTGACGTATAGATGTTAATTCAAACCAAATAGGTAGTGAGCAAAAAAAAGTTGCTTTTTAATAAAGCTTATTAACTAAGATTAAATGAGACAAAACATGTGATTTTTTTAATAAAATTAATTTACTAAGGCTGAAAAAGAACACAACCGATTTTGAATAATATTTCTTTATTAAGACTGTGTGAAAAAAAACATTAATCAGAATCTAGCTCTTCAATTTGGCACATCTCTGCATTACCGCCGGAGAAGTTATGAATAATTAAGCAGGTCACATACAACCATGCATCCTATATGTAAACGAAAGTTTTAAATCGAGTTCCTGAACGCAATATAAAGTGACATTTGGTTGACGATTTAGGTTATAAATCATTCATAGCCAAAGCTCAATAAATGAAAAAAAAACAACTAATATTAACTATCAACATTTGATACTGTTTGTTTAAAAATGTTTAGTTTTTATTCTAGAATCAGCCGAGTTTAGCACTAGAAAAGTGTTCCGAGATTTTTTTGCAAACCGTACTTTACAAGCGCCATTTGACAGATGGAGGTCATTGGCTTTCCTATTCTTATTTGAATCGCATTTTATTTAGGTATATAAAACACCGAGTTCTATGTTAAAGCACGGTAATATTATCTATACAGTATTGTGACTCCGCCCTGTCCTTGAAATAAATGCCTACGGCCGAGCGCTGCGTTAGCACGCGGTAGGGCCGCCCGCCTACAGTATTTTAATTTCATCTACATAATTGAGTTTCTTTCTAGTTTTGTGATTGTAAATATTTTATTTTATATGGAAAGATTCTCCGCAAGCCCATATACCCATATCGTAGGAATGCATTAAAAATAACTATTCCGCTATGTTGGATTTAGAATGACGTCACACAGCTAACCGTGTCTATACTAAATTTCAGCTCAACCGGTTGAAGATATCTGCTTCAAAATTGAGTTGCAAGATTCCACCCGAACAAACATAGTTACATACCTACCTTTATTGCAAGTCAATTAAAAGCTTGTAAAAAACCTGACTGCTGATTTTTATTCTTACATAATTCAATAAATGAATATTATTGTAAACATACAAGTTATATTCATTTGTAATTCATGGCGCAGTCGGGTTAAAAGGAAATTACCTACAATGTGAGTAAATCTTACTAGGTAGGTACTGTAGGGATCGTTTCATGCAAACTAATTATTGTCATTGAAACACTTATTTTCAAGAAATTACACTATTATTGAAGTTATACTTCTTTAGGCGCGTTATGAAAAAATGATGAAAGTGAAATTTTAAGATGCGCGCGCATCACTGTAACACAAAATATTTTAACAGCATGAAGTTGGTCTGCATTGTGACGGCCTATCAAAAGTATTTATTAATCTGGAACAACGGAACCAAAGCGCGATTCAGGAGACTACAGCGCCATCTCGTCACCATTGGTGTAGTAGAACCAAAAACCACATCTTTATTTTTTGTAATAAAGTAACAGTTATAGGTATTCATTTAAAATATCAAAAGTATTTATTAATCTGGAACAACGGAACCAAAGCGCGATTCAGGAGACTACAGCGCCATCTCTTAACCATTGGTGTAGTAGAACCAAAAACCACATCTTTATTTTTTGTAATAAAGTAACAGTTATAGGTATTCATATTTATAATATTTATCCACATGTTTCTAGTTTGTATATTCGGAATACGTGTTTGAGTTTCATACAAGTGCAAATCACATATGTTCTAATAAATTATATTCAGTAGCGATTTTAATTGAATATTTTGATTATTTATTTATTTTTTCAAATTAAAACTTAACTTTATTGACTGTGTCCTTTTCCAGACTTTTTATTAATTTATTGTAATTAATTATTTGCATGCAATTAAAAACTAATTTTAAACGATGCCAAAGAAGGATAACTTCTCACGCGCCTACATAAGTACACGCACCCATTTTTTTATCAATAAACAAAATACTGTTTTTTAAACTCCGCACAAATCTCCCTATTTTATTATTTTCCAGCTATCAATTCCTGTCAACAATCCGTCTCTTCCAAATTACAATAATAAGCTGCCAGTATACATCAAAAATATCCGATCACTACAATACCTACCATTTATTACTCTCGTAAATTATTTCATAATGACATTTCATTTAATTCAATAATAATGTAGTTTAGTTATTCAATAATGTATGTAGTTAAGTAAGTAGATAGCCTAGTCTAGGAAACTACCTACCTTTTATGTAGTTTTGTTTTTAACGT